CACAAGTAATATCGAGCTCCATGCGGCAGACGTTGGGTAAGAGACCGAGTGCATCTTCAATATCTTGCTCCTTTCGGCTGATTATAACGACCCTCAGCCACTTGGGGAGCTGACCACACTGATTCACCAGCACGGAGAGCAGCTCCTCGCGGCTCGCCGGATTACCGCAGCTTTCCAGCGCATCGATAACGACGACCACGGCCCCTCTTCCAGACACAGGCGCGACACTGTCAGAGTTGAGTGGTCCGACCAGGAGCTGGGTAAATTGCGCGGCGAGTGAGGACTTGGTGACATCTGGGTTCATCTGGAGCGCCTTCGAAACCGCCGCGTTAATGCGCTCATCGAAAAGAGCCAACTGGGCGGCGAGAGTCCTGATGAGGGCAGCAGGAGTTGAAAGATGTTCCCTATCGTTGAAGAAGAGGAATGCACCGAGTCTACTATGTCCGCGGAAGGATTGGGCGATGGAATTGGCTATTGCGCTCTTGCCAGAACCGGGAAGTCCATACAACCACAGAATATTCTTGTCCTTCCGCGACGCGTCCAGCACCCATGCTGATATATCTCGAAGGTATCGAATGCGCGTTTTCGGAAGACAAGAGGAACGTTCCACAGCGTCCATTGTCATCGGTTGCAATTGCTGCAGGATCCGGTCTCGATCTTAAACGAGAACAATATCAGCTGTGGTTGTTTTGGACTGAGATTCCCGAGACTCACGCAGTGAAGTTACGACGTTCAAGATCGACGTCGTCGTCAAAACGGTTTGAATTACTTCGCCCTCCTGACGGGACGCTCCCAGCTTTTCAAAACTCGCCTTGAAGTCATCGATCCTTCTCCTCATTGGGGTGTCAAAGCTCTGCCTTATTAACCTAGCTGTATTGGATATGAGTTTAGATAAGGTGGAGCAAGATGAGGACATACACATGAAGCCAACGCTGCAATACTCTTGCATGAACATGGCACACTCCAATGTCTCTTTCAAAGTAGCTTCAACGATGGCCTCGAGACGTGGAAAGAGGTCTGGTGACTCCTTTAACACTGCGATAAAGCCATAGGCATTGTCCATAGTCTCTACAAGGTCAATAATCTTATCGTCCCTTTCGTACTGTCCATGAATTGCCTGTAATAAACCCCCATTAATTGGAGTTCGAAGGGTGAAGGAGGGGATACGAGCTAACCTTGACCACAGAAGTCATTGCCAACCACGTCAAACGAATGATGGGATGGATCTGAGACGTTGCATCAGTGTCTAGGGACTAAACAAGGTGAAATAGCGGCACCACCTTTGTAGCTTCGTCCACCAGGTCAATGAGATCATTGAGGTTCTCGATCACTGCCTCAAACCCTTCTTTCGCGTTGTCGGATACCCTGGATCCTGAAAGGGGGGGCCGGGTAGTATCCAACGCATGCGAAGCGTATCGGGCGTGGTTCAGAGCGTTGCCAGTGTGTTCCAATATTGGCAAAGGGTCGACGGGGGAAGACTGTTGCCGTTGTAAGTTAACAATGGCGAAGAGTAACCAGCAGACGGGTCTAGCTTCGCCTCCTCGAGATTTAGACATCAGACGAAGCTGAAAACCATTGGGATATTCAGCCTGGGATTTCTCGAGGTGCTCCCATTTCACGGAGATATCACCTCTGACGTGCGTTATGAGTGATTTGGTGGACTTCTGGCATAGTTGGATCCGAAGCTCGGCGTCCTTCTTGGCTATCGGGCTTCATGATCGGTATTAGGCCCTTGCATAACACGACTATAGGTAAAACAGCGGCTTACATCTTGAATACTTCGTCCCATTTTGGATTGTCACTCCTTCCGACGGGCTTCGTGACGTGCTGCGTAGACCCACTGATGACCTTGACGGATAAGGAGCCAGATGATACAAACTCATGCGACAAATGCGACGCAGATATGACTAGACACCGATCCGATTTGGGATGAGCATTGATCGATATGAAAGGAACTGGAGGCACTCACCCCTAAGCCAGTGATCCATAGTGAGGGACAAGAGGTCATCCACAGAGACACTCTTGGTTGCAGAGATCTCGTCAATAAGAGGCGATGGACAAGGGCGACTGAGGCCTGGGAAATTTCGCCTCACGTACGAGGCGTGACAATGGAAGGATGCGAAACCACATACGCGGGCGCTTGATGTTCGACTCTATCACGAACCTGTCCCCTAGTCTGTCATGGTATAGAGTTCACAGTGCATGACAGGATGAATGCTCCCGTTTCAAGCTTATTGTGCTCGAACGCACGGGCGGAAAACCACATTCTCCTATTATATAGTCCCAGCAATCGTAGTTCTTTGGGATCGAACAAAACTCACTTCACAATGCAAAACTGTGGCGTCGTAACACGCTGTCAGATCTATATCACTTTGACAAACAGAAGGGACGCACCGGTAATATTACATTTGAGTCCCTGTTGGGTATTATTGGACCAGTTGTGGTGTTCACCGAGAAGGACGGTGGTAATCATCACCTTGAGCTCGTTTTGATATCAAAACAGTGCTAAAGTCAGAGGGGGCATTAAGTCTGGCAGATCCACGTGTGAACGAACATCAACGTGTGGTTGGCGGTGACCCTCATGGGTGGCCTTGCTGGCTAATTGCGCAAGTTTCGGGTTTCGGACTCGGAGTGTACAAGCTCGGAGGAGATCTTGGGTACTTAACAGCGGCGCAAGACACAGCGGGAACTCACCGTGAGTATACTGGGCTCTATATCCCGGAGCAGCATGATTTGCATCATTGCTTACGGTAAGGGCTACTTTTGAGAGCATCAGCACACGACCACAGGAGAGGACCGAGAGGCTACGCACTTGATTCTTTCACAGTCGTAGGTCACTGTCATGGTCCCATAGCAACTTGCCTCGTCTTCGGACTTCAAATCAAGCTGTATCCAGGTCGTTATCGCACAGAATGTGCCGGCCGCGACGCCCAGACTTACACCGCACCTTCTCATTATCTGACTGACGCATTGTGATGAACTTGAGGGCTGCAGAGCAACTGCAGAGTGTTGCCGACGTTCAGCGCCACCAAGGCGCCAATGCCTCTAACCGAGGTTGTCCCGAACGTTTGCCTCTCCTCTTCCATGTACAACCTAAACCTACCCCGCCTGTGATTCCATTGATGACGAGTGGGAGACCATACCATCCCGTTCGGCCAAGCTTCAGTCCAACTGAACCTGCAAATACTGCTTCCAGTTTGGCCGTATGACTCGCACGAGCTCCCCTCATGATCCACTCATGCACTGGAGGCTACAGACTATCAAGCACCCAAAGGATAAAGCAAAACAGCCGGATGCACGCTCATAGATACCTGGGGAGCAAGAGAATGTGGATAGTACCCACACAGGCCCAACAGGCGCGTTACTCGTGTGGGCTGCCGCTCAAGCAGCATCATTCGTAACCTTCGTGGCGGCCTTTGTTGGCAATGGCTGAATATCGCGGAAAGCCCGTGAAACGCGGACAGTAGGATCTGGAAAATAAGTTGAACAGTATCATACAGCACACGACACGGTAGTTGTATCACTCAATGTATGCTTGGTTCTATTTCTCCGAGCAACATTGTTCCATCTTTGCTTCCAGTGAGAACTAGGTATCAAAGTATCAGCACGCGATCATAGGTGGGAACCGAGAAGCTACTCACTGATGGGTTCTTTGGGGTGAAAGTCGACTGAGGTCACTGTTCCCTTGTGTCCAGGTAACTATCAAAACATGTCAAGTAGGTGTGATAAAAACTTCACGTATGCTGTACATACCTTGTACAGCACCTGTCCATTTTCTACGTCCCAGATACACACAGTTCTGTCAGCACCGCCGACGGCTACTCTTTTGCCTCCATCGTCACGACTCCATGCTCCTCTGAGCAGTGTATTCTCGAAGCCAGCAGGCGAGCCGACCAGAACGCGATGGACACGTGAGGGGGAAGGAGAGAACGGTCGCACGTCGTGGATGATTGTTTGGGAGGAAAGTGAGGGCGATAGCAAGAAGTGACCGTTCGGTGAGAGGGAGAGGGAGACAGGCGTATCAGTGTGGCCCGAGAGCGAAAGAACTTCCTCGTTTTTGCGGAGATCGAGGACCTGCAAGCAATCAAAATCGACGCGACGCATCTGGATACTAGGAACGTACGTGAATTGCATTGTCTAGCGCGCCGGCATAGACATTCGCGCCGTCTGCACTCCAGCACACCGAAGTGACTGGGCATCCGAGCTCGAAAACAGCAACGGGTTGTTTTCCTCCCTCGTCGCCGCCCTCCCACACTCTCACGGTCCCATCGTCGCTCCCTGACGCGACCAGTTCCACTCCAGCACCTCCCGCGATGGTTCGGTCAAGTGAATTGACAATTCCTCTATGCCCTCGAAGTTTGCGCGCGCGTTGTCCAGTCGTAGTGTCCATGATGTTGATCGTTTGGTCGGCTGACGCGGTGTAAATTAGGGGGGAGAAGAGAGACCACTGGAGGTCGAGGATAGGTGCTTTGTGTATGCTCGAAAGCAAGCCGTAGTTGGTATTAGGAGCATAAGTTCTCCATAACGCTAGAATGCACGTCATCGAGGTGCAACAAGTGCGACGGAAAGCATGCACCTACAGACAGCTCTGTCCGCTGAACAGGCGGCAATGTTCTGACCTGAAGGATCAAATCTACAGCTCAGAATCTCTGCCTGAAGCAGTGAAACCAATCAGCTTAACAGTAATTCAGCGTAGCAAATGACACGTACACCATGCGAACCCGACAGGCTAATGATAGGTGCCTCCAGGCTACTCGTCCTCTTCACAGTCCGAATGAGAGCCTGCTGTCGCTCATCGTTCGAAGACGAGATGGCGATTTGGTTCACTGGAGGCGACTGTGACCGTACTCTCTTGATGAGAACGCCACCTGAAGGTGGTGGAGATGCAGTTCTTTTCGACATGGTGGAGGGGGAGATGGCCGGGGACGTCCTGCGTTGAAGTGAAACCTTGTGAGGGTTGTGAGTCATATGTATGGCCGTCTTAGTGCTCGTCTTAACATGGCCGCCTGGCGAAATGGCATCGCGTCTGACTACGAGATCACGTGATCATGTGATTGCATCACGTGATAGAGATCAGGAGATTGCAGGTTCGACCCCTGCGGTGGTCATTTTGACTCTTTTTATGTCTCACCGTGTGTCGACCTCTCCAAGGACGCGTTTTTGTACCAGCAGAGTAGGCACAACAGGCAACGAATTGGTGCTGGAATCTCCGGCGGTCTCTGGTGGGCTCTCGGGATTCGCCGAAGTCACGTGACTGACAGCACGTGACCTGCCGGTCCCGATCCAGCCTGCCATTGGCAGAGGCTCTTCACATGCGCATACCCATCATCCGTCTCAATGTCTGTCCTCCTAGAGACGTCTTTAGGCGATCTCGTCATCGACTTGGAGGTCGAGGCATGTCCCGAAACATGCAAAAACTTCCTTAAATTATGCAAAGTGTACTACTACAACTTGAACGCGTTCTTCAATGGTAAGTCGTGTCGCGAACAGTCTTGAACGCTTGGAACTGACCGGTTGGCAGTATCGAAGGACTTTCTCGCTCAAGTGGGGGACCCGTCGGCGACGGGAACAGGAGGCGAGTCCATATGGTCCCTTATCGGTTCACAGCGAAGCAAACAAGCATCACGCTACTTCAGCCCGGAATTCGTGCCCCGTTTGAAGCACAAGGTGAAGGGGACCGTGTCCATGGCGGTCGCGCCGGCACTGGAAGACGGAACGAAGGGAGGATGCGGAAGTCAGTTCTTCATCACGCTCGGTGACAACATCGACTATCTGGACGGGAAACACGCCGTGTTCGGACATGTGGTGGAGGGAGAGGATACGCTGAGCAAGCTGAACGAAGTTTTCACGGACCAGGACGGAAGGCCGTTGAAGGATGTCAGGATACGTCATGTTGAGATCCTTGGTGAGTTCTAGCGTCCGTGTTCCGTCAAACTCTGTGGCTGGGCGTTGAACAGCTACGCTAGATGACCCGTTTGAAGACCCAGAGGGACTGGTCGTGCCTGAATCAGCGCCGACGAAACCTCCGGACAACTCGACGCGCATTGCGGAGGATGAAGATCCCCTCGCCACCCTTCCCGAGGAGGAGGCGGAGGCGGAGCGTAGGAAACAGGCGGCGCGAGCATCAGCGCTGACTTTGGAGATGGTCGGCGACCTTCCCTTTGCCAACGTCCGACCCCCAGAGAACGTCCTGTTTGTCTGCAAGCTCAATCCGGTCACAAGAGACGAAGACTTAGAGCTTATTTTCTCCCGCTTCGGGACTATTATGAGCTGTCAGGTAATACGGGATAAACGCACGGGTGATTCGCTGCAGTACGCATTCATTGAGTTCGACAAGCGGGAAGATGCGGAACAGGTATATTCCATAATGCCCCTTTCACTGAACTGAGGCTCATCAACGTCTTGACAAGGCGTACTTTAAGATGCAGAATGTCCTGGTAGATGACCGCCGCATATGGGTGGACTTGTAAGTTCAAGTAGCTTCCATATCTCAGTGTCCACACGCTTATTACTATTCAACAGCTCCCAGTCGGTTGCTCGCCTCAACACCGGTTGGTCCAATAACGTCAAGATGGGAGCTCGCAAGGGCCATGGCAAGAGTGGCGGTTTTGGCGGACGTGATGATCTAGAGGAAACACGACGATATCGGGAAGGCTCAGACGAGAGGCAGGGCTACGGCATGGTGTTCGATGTCCCAAGCGGTGATCGTCCTCGGAAGCGGAGAAGCAGTCGCAGTCGAAGCAAGAGCCCTCGACGTGATGATCGCGACCGTAGGAGACGGTCTCGCTCTCCGAAACGGAGAGATGATGACTACGAACGGAGGGACAAGCATAAGAGCAGAGAGTATTCAGACAGAGATCGACGTGATAGGAGACGATAGGTTAATCCTATGTGCGTTCTTTTGTTCTCATCATCAACTTTTTGAACGACAATTGTGTGACTTCTGCTCTTGAAGTGTTCCTTCAAACCCGTTCTCTTCGTGCGATGGTGACTCGAACATCGTCTGCGTGACTATCGTTGTCTGCACTCAAACTCCTCGTCCGTGACCAGTGATCTATTGATCCTCGATCCTCTCCGCGAGAAGCAGCAAGTTCCAATGCCATGCTGCTTGAAGCAGACATCCTTGGCCCGTGAAGCGGAGGGGGTCGTTTGGCGCCCATCATAATTCCTCGTCCGTACGCGACCACCATACCTCACCGCGTAGTCCTTGTTGAGGCTATGATGTCCGTCCACCGCCATTGATGCTAGTCCCTGGGCTGATGGCATCTGGTTTGGCTTTCACTGGAGCGAAAAGGATCGATCAATTGAGGAGTGCGGCTGGCGTGCCAAACTTGTGCGGTCGTGGCGTCATAGCACCAGCGCTGATAACATATAAGATGGGAGGCTAACCGTTGCTGGGCTCTCATGCCGCTGCACTTTCTTTCCTCCTGATACCCCCACAATCATGACCCTCACGACACTCTTTGCTTTTGACGACGCAGACCTGGTGTTGCGCCCGACCTCCCCCGACTCAGACGCCGTTGATTTTCACGTCCACCGCTGCATCCTAGCGGCATCCTCCCCCTTCTTCAGGCAAATGTTTACCTTGCCTCAAGCTCTATCAGAGGAAATCGTCGACGAGCCACCAATACCGGTCATCGAGATGTCCGAGACAGGGTCCACATTGGGGGCATTGCTGCAGTTTATATACCCTATGGTCGACCCATGGATAGAGACGCTGGACGAACTCACCCTCGTACTCGATGCCGCCACGAAATACGACATGACAGTTGCCAGAGAAACACTTCGCAAGCTCCTCATCGCGCCACGCTTCGTTGCCAAGTGGCCTACGCGCGTGTATGCCATCGCGTCTCGCTTTGAGTTGGAGGAGGAAGCGAAGATCGCGTCGCGGTACACACTCACGGTCAACGTTCTGGACTGTCCCCTGTCCGAGGACCTCAAGTACATCACGGCGTACTCGTATCATCGCCTCCTCGACCTTCACCGTAGTCGAGCGAAAGCCGCGCAGGAGCTTTTGCTCTCTATGCCTCCCGACAACGTCAAGTGCATGCTCTGCAACGGTACACATTACGGCATCTTGCTCGCGCCCAAGTGGTGGCAGCACTTCCAGGCGAAGGCGAGGGAGGAATTGAGCCTGAGGCCGACGACGGAAATCATCTTCTCGATGCCGTTCCTGGCGCAGGTCGCGTCGGCGGGATGCGACAGGTGTGCAGGGAGTCTGCTGAACTCTCATGTTTTCTTGGAGGAACTGAGGAAGAAGATTGACGATTTGCCTGCGACCATCTGATCCACACACACGGATCCATTCTTTGCTTTGTTCTCACTTCACGACATTCACGACGTTTCGTACATATATGCTTGTTTCGTACTGTATTTCTTGCACACCATCATGCCCTCGGCCATCATTGCCTCGCTTCCTTCACCTCGCACCTGTATCCAAATCCTCTTGTATCTTATCCACCTTATATCAGACGGTCCTTTCGGACCCTGTAGTATAGACGATGTAACGTAGCTTCACACTGGCATTCATCGTGCCCTCTCGGCAGCAATCGAGCCTGTCGCTGAATTACCGCTTCCACCCGCGTTTGCTATCGTTTTCTATCTCCATTGAAAGCCGCGAAATGTAGGATTATCAACCATGGAGTTGCTGATGGAGTTATCGTGAAGGCCATGCTTGATGATCCGACCGCCGATCCTTCTTGACTGCATACCACCACCCTCCATCTAAAACACTCATCAACGATGGCGACACCGCAGCTTGCCACATTCAAGGCCCCGGAGATTCTCAATGAGCCCATGGTCAGTTCATTCTATCACTTGGCCGAGATTCAACGGTGCTGAGATGTCGACAAAATATGCAGAAAGGCTATGGCCCTGGATCCCCGGAGCGCAAGGGGTTGCAAGATGCCATCGCTCAGATGGAGAAAGAGCTCCCATTCGAAGTACCTTGCGTCGTGAATGGCAAAGAGGTGTGTTCGCTTAGATCAACGCTCACCACCTCAATCTTACCGAAGCCACCAACTCTTTTCCTCTTTCCTCAAGGTCAAAACTGGCAAACTCGCTAAGCAACCACTGCCATGGGACCACGCCAACCATCTTTGCACGTACCACGAAGCAGACCCTGCTACTGTTGAAAGTGCCATCAAAGGCGCGCTCGCTGCCAAAGCCGAGTGGGAGGCCATGCCATGGAACGACAGAGCGGCCATCTTCCTGAAGGCTGCAGACCTGGTCAGCGGGAAGTACAGATACAAGTTGATGGCTGCGACGATCCTGGGTCAAGGAAAGAACGCATGGCAGGCGGAAATTGATGCTGCGGCTGAGGTGAGTCTTTCGTTTTTGTTTTACAGGTTGGAGGGTGACTATATGCACCAATACTTCTTTAGTTGTCGGATTTCTTGCGCTTTGGAGTGAAGTATGTGGAGGAGCTGTATGCTGTACAACCACCCAGGAACACTGCTGGGAGCTGGAAGTACGTGTCTGTGACCATCATCCGTAATGATTGTCTCTAAAGCACCACTCAGCCGTGTTGAGTACCGCGCTCTCGAGGGTTTCGTCCTTGCCGTATCGCCATTCAACTTCACTGCCATCGGTGGTAATCTCCCTGGAGGTATGTACAAGAATCCATTCACGTATTCTTCCAGCTGAACCCGAGTTTCTCAGCACCTGCGCTCGTCGGCAACACTGTCGTCTGGAAACCCTCCCCCGCTGCCACATACTCTAACTACATCGTCTACAAAATCTTCGAGGAGGCTGGCGTTCCACCCGGTGTCATCCAATTTGTTCCTGGACCTCCCGAGGAGGTCGTTGGCCAGGCTATTGCTCACCCTGAGTTCGCTGCATTGCACTTCACGGGAAGCACCTTCGTCTTCAAAAAGCTGTGGAAGGATATTGCGTCGAACTTGGACAACTACAAGGGCTACCCAAGAATTGTGGGTGAGACTGGTGAGTCATGCAATACAGTGGGGTGATGACACAATACTCAAGTGTATTCACAGGCGGAAAAAACTTCCACATGGTGCACCCTTCCGCTGAGGTTAAGAACGCCGTTCTTCAGACCGTCCGTGCTGCTTTCGAGTATCAGGGTGAGTGTCTATACTTTTTTTCTACA